GCTAGAGACCACGGATTTGGGCGATTCTTAAAGGGATTTTCGTGGAGTTGATTGGGGTAAGTGATTCTTACTTGGTTTTGGCTAAATCCCATGATTATGTCTTTAATTTCAACATTTAATTTGTGATTTGGGATGAAAAATTGGAAAAAAAGGAAGTGTTCTTGAGTTAGATTTTTGAGGTTTTGAATGGGATTTTGTTATCGGATTTGAGTAAACTTAGTATGATTAGACTCCCGAGTGAATCGGCTTTCGGGTTTTGTGACTTTTGTCAGATTTCTAGACGTGAGCCCGGGGGCTGGGTTCGGGCGAATTTTGGATTTTTGGCTATAATTTAGTATTTTTTTTGTGGAATTGATTCCTTTAGCCTATATTGATTGTATAGTACTACTTGTGGATAAATTCAGGACATTCGGAAGCCGACTCGTGAGGCAAAGGCATTTTAGAGTAGCATTTTGCTCGGATTGAGGTAAGTAACTGTTTTAAATCTTGTCTTGAGGATATAAAACCCTGGATGTTGTGCTATGTGATTACTATGGAGGTAACGCACATGCTAGGTGATGGGTGTGTAGGCGTGCACCGTGGGGATTGTGACTTGGTCCGTCACGTGGGACTGTAAAGTTGAATAACTTGTTGTTAGATATATGTTCTCCTAGTGTTATAGAAATTTGACTGAAACCCATGTTAGAAATCATTCTTAGGCTATATGATGTCATTGTTGGGACCCGTAGAGGTCATGTACTTGTTGAATTAGCTGCTATTTGCTGTCTTGTACTCAGCTATGATTTTTCTTGCGTATCATACCTCCATTTCTTCTTGTTCCTTGTTGATACATGTTATTATCTCTGTTAGGGCTGATTTATATGATTTCTGAGAGCCCGGGGACTGGAGAGGTTGGTGACTGAGATAGGGCCTGAGTGCCGAGCTGTGAGCTATGTGTGTATATATGGATCGGGTTGCACACCACAACGAGCGCGAGGGTTGTATGTATATGGATCGGGTTGCACGCCGCAATGAGCTTGAGGGCTGTTTGTATATGGATCGGGTATCACGCTGCAACGAGCCTTAGAGCTATATATATATATATATATATATATATATATATATATATATATATATATATATATATATATATGTGGATTGTGTTGCATGCCGCAATGAGCCTTATGGCTATTATATATTATGGATCGGGTTGCACGACGCAGCGATATAGTGCTTGGGATGAAGGAGTCTCTTCGGAGTCTGTACACCCCCAGTGAGCGTAGGTACCTATTGAGTGTGAGTGCTGAGGGCTGAGAGCCGAGTGATTGAGTTGTTGAGAAGAGTTGAGTGATTGTTGAGAGGTTGTATTTGCTTTCATTTGTTGTTGCACTTAGTTGCTAGCTATCATTGCTTTGAAATCCGGGAAGATTTTATATCTGGTTTTACTTGAACTTAAAACTATACAAAACTGATTTGACTCAAACTGTCGGATTTGAAAGCATGCTATTCCTTACTGAGATTATTGAAAATGAACTATAACTGTGTAGCTCATCACTATCTTTCAGTTCCTTATTTATTATTGTTTCTTACTGGGTTGGTTGTACTCACGCTACACCTTGCACTTCATGTGCAGATCCAGGTATTTTCGGACACGGTGGGCGTTGATCTCGTGCTCGATTGATTGTCGGAGATTTATGAGGTAGCTGCCCGGCGTTCACAGTCCTTTTCTCCCTCCTTGACTTCTTCTCTATTTGTATTGACACAGACTATAGTAGACACTATTTCTTAGACTGGTTATTTAGTTTGCTCATGACTTAGTGATACCCAATGTCGGGCTATTTTTTCGCACTTATGTTTTAGGTTTTACCCGTTTTTATGAAAAACTCCTGTTATTTTAAAGGTCTTAAATTCATTTCTGTTAAATATTGAAAGTGTTTTGGAAACGTCGGCTTGCTTAGTACCTCGATAGGCGCTATCATGACGGGTTAAATTTTGGGTCGTGAAAAATAACCTGATACAATTGGTTTGGTTTGGTAATTAGAAAATCCGAACCAACCCGACTTATGCACACCTCTAATTGCAAGGAACAAGCTTACTTTTAGAAATAATCTAATTTTATTTAAGTGAGACTTTTGAATTGAAATAAAAGATAAGTTTGAAAGAATATTAAAACAATTAAAATCCATGAAAGAAGCATACTATGTATCAATAATCTCATTAAACTCGTTATTCAGATTTGACATATAACAAACGGAAAAGGGTCAAATATATTTGTATACTATCAGAAAAGATTTAATATACCCCTTATTATACTTTGAGTCCAAATATTTCCTTAGCGTTATACTATTGGTTTAAATATATCCTTTTTCCGTTAAGTTTGTCTAAAGTGGAATCCAATCTTATGTGGCACTGACATTTGATGAGGTGGAGCCACATGGCTTGGCACCTCAGCGCCCCTAACCCATTTTACTCCTTTCTTCTATTTTTTCTCCACCACTAAAATTTTCTGCCCCTCCACCACTATTGCCGCCATTATCACTACCATAAAAAATATTGTATTTCAAATTTTAGTCTTTTATATATGGATTAGGGGCGCTGAGGTGGCATGCTACGTGACATCCACCTAATCAAATGTCAGTGTCATGTAGGATATTGGATGTCCACCGTAGATAAACTTAACAGAAGGGGGTATATTTGAATCAATGGTATTACAAAAGGGGTATATTTGGACCCAAAATGTAATAAATAATATATTTAAATTTTTCTTATAGTACAAGAATATATTTAGCCCTTTGCCGTATAATAAATTATTCATGAATAACTGGATACATAGTACACTTCACGAAAATAAAAGGATTTGTAGAGTGTAACAGTCATGGCCCTAAATCTTTTTGAAAAAAAAAAAGAATCCTTTATCACATGCTAATAAACGCTTCAAAATTAGTTAGGCTTCACTAGACACCAATCCCGTGGAGTAAATTTATATTTATATCCAAATTAGAGGACCTAATGTAGTAAAAAGCTCTCTTAAAAGTAGGATTTTGGCTGTCCCAAAATAGTGCCACATTAATCATTGCTTTGGTTAACTCTTGAGCATTCCAATCCCATGATTAACGAATACTTAATACACTAGTCCAATAATGCCATTTGCTTGCTTGTCTTTATTATTTATTGCACCGACAGCATATGTGGATTTAACAAATCTGAACCATATTTCAAGTCTAATTCTCGGGTCTGACTAATCCCATAGTGTCTGGTCTTTAACGAAACTTCCACCACTAACCCCAATAGAATTAAATAACATGAGAAAAACCAGGGGAACAACTTTCATTCTCAAGGGTAAAAAAAAAAAACAAATAATTTAGCTTAAAAAATAGATTTTGGTTTCCAAAAGTCATAACATGAGAAGTCCAAGAAAACAATTTCAATTCTCAACCCCCCCAAAAAAAGTTTGTTAAAATTAAATTGTTGATTTCAAATAATATAAAACAATTTCTTAAAGATTATCCAAGCACACGATGGTCACTAATATTACTAACCGTATAAAATTATCAAACCAGACAATATATTTGAGAATACAATTACATACAGGAAAAAAGTGTAATTTGTATACACTAACAATATAAAATTATCAGACCAAACAATAGTATATAATATTGGACAGGCAGATATGTCTAAATAAATAGGGTACACAATAAAGTAATACGCTAAGATTGATCCCATTTGAATACTTGCTTAATTAAGCAAAACATAATTATGGATTAAGAAACCATCACATGGTCATCAGGTCAGACGTGTGCCTCAATCTTTTTAGCAAACACTTAACTATTATTACTTCACTTATTATATGCTCCATCCTGAAAGCAGCAAGCAAATGAAGGGGCCAAAATTGGGGTGAAATTCAAAAATAACTAAATTTACAAGTGGTAATTGAAAAATATTCAAAAGTAATCGAAATTTAGCCACTTCTAATATAAAGATAAATCTGAACAAAAATACTGTTCAAAATCCGGAAAATATTCCAACATAATATACTGGGGTTTAAATTTTTTACATGTGAACTTCGAACATAGTATACTGGAACTCCAGTATATTATGATAGAGTTCCAGTACACGGGCGGCCCTATTTGGTCGCCCCCATTTAATTTATACCCATTTTTTAAAAAAGTTTTAACTTGCACCCAGTTTTTAAACAACTTTAGCCCCTTTCTCCTCCTTCGTTTTCTTCTTCTTCTTCTATGGCTAAGCTTAATACTAATTGGGTACAGAAATCAAGGGACCAATACTATCACCCTGGGGAAATTTCACATTTTATGAAAGGTATAAAGAATCCAAGCGACAAAACAAAGATGACAACAGACAAAAAAAGAAAACCATGAAACCCCCAAGTTCGCAGCTTCCACAAGCCCAGAACAATAGAAAAAAAAGGTGATTAATTACTGATTAATCTAGCAGACATTGAAGATAATATTTTGTAATGAACTCAATTAAAATAAGGAAAATAAACGACAATAATGGAAATAGACTTGTTCTTCCTTTTATGTTTTTGAAAAAGCTTATCCATAACAAAAAAAAACTTAAGCACTAAGTTCAGCAAATAAAGAACAAAACTTCAGCACTAGAATGCTTAAGTTCAGCAATTACAAACAAAAACAAGTTCATCAAATAGAGAACAAAACTTTAGCACTAGAATGCTTAAGTTCATCCCCTGAACCATCCTTACTATCCAAGTTATGTGGCTTACTGGGACATCTAGCAATATGTTCTAATATAGAGCTTGTCCCACTTTTCCTAGTTGTCTAGATTCTAATATTACAATACTATCAAAAAAGCAAACACCATCAATCATCACATGTCTAAAATGTTGTGCTTTAGAAGTCAATTTTCTATTTTTAGTTCCAATAACTTTATGAGAAAGGTACTAGGAAGCTGAAACCATGAGTTTTCTTCATCTTGAGACTCCGTACTTATCTATAAACGCAAAAAACACAAGAAAAGGGAATTTAATAACGAGAATCAAATTAACAACCCCCGTTCAACCAAATACCGAACTTCGACACAACCTCTGATCCAAATACATTCAATAACAACAACATATCCAGTGTAATCCCACAAGTGGAGTCTGGATCAATACACTCAATAATGACAATCAAATTAACAATCTATGTAAATCCAGAAAAATGTAACTTTCTTGGAAATCAAAAAATTAAAAATAATTGAGTTATGACAGTCAACAAGAAATCAAAAAATGCAGTTCCAAATTCGTTCCCGAGACAAATACAAGATCAGCTTCAAGTTTGTAGCAGCCAACTTCAGCTTCTGCTCAACAATTATTTGGTTGTATGTTTGTTGCTTGCATTTTGTGTATGTTCATGGTAGTGAATGCAAGTATAACTAATTTAATGGTTTAACCCTAAAAATTAAAGGGAAACAAAAGCGATCCCAGATGATGAAAGCCTAACATCTATCATCAGAAACAATTTTGGGTTCCAACAAGTTAGATTCGGATCACAACCAAGAAAAATTTCAGTAAAACAATAGGAAAAATAAGAAACAAGTAGTAGGGTTAGACTATTACCGGCAAGACAGCGAGATGGTGAGCCCAAAGTCAAAAAGGGACGGAAAAACCAGAGAGCAGAGAGAGAATGAGACTGTGAGAGTCGAGACTGGTGCAGCTGTAGCAGGCAAAAATGTACGGAGACCAGAGAAACCGAGAAGGGAGTAGGTTTAGATGTTTAGTTCAAAAGAAAGGGGCCTTAACCCGCAACTGCTTTGCCCTCTCTGATTTTAAGAAAATTGTTTAAACCCGCACCGCCCACGCGCCGCACTGCATACATACTTCCCCACCTCGCCACACAAAGGCTTTAACCTGCACCGCCCCGTTGCCTTCCCTGATGATATGTTTTATCCCATCCTCCCATTGGGCATAAAATTCAGCGAGACTGGAATTCTTTTACCAGTGATCTCCATATGAAATTACCCAGTAACTCATCACACTGAGCTGCTCTTGCAAATGGTTCTCCTTCACAGCTCTACCTTGGGGCACATGGAGCAGCTCCGACAACCAGCACAGAGTCCATGGATTTTCACTTGAATATGCCTTCTAAGGATATGCAAAGTAGTTCAAAAGCCAAAGCTAGTTGTCCTAGCAGCATTTTCTTTTTTTCTTCACTTCACGTCCATATCAAAGGATTTTACTGGGTATGTTTTTTCACATCCATATCAAACAAGACAGACAGCCTAAAGTCAGGAATATAAGTACCTTACCTGATCCTTACTGCTAATTCCACTATGTTTTGCAATATCCTTTTCCGTTTTATGGATAAGATCAGGACCAATCCAGCTCTTTCCGGATTCCTTTACAATGGCCAGTTCGTTTACCATCTCTCTTACACTTCTTGCATCTTCCCACCTTCCTGCCGATGCATACAAGTTCGAGAGGATCACATAAGTTCCAGCATTTTCTGGCTCTATCTCCAAAAGTTGTTTGGCTACAATTTCACCAATATCAACACACAGGTGAGCCCAGCAAGCACCTAAAAGTGAACCCAGAATTGCAGCAGTTGGTGGAAAAGGCATCTCTCTGATGAATTGAAAGGCCCTTTCTACTTGGCCAGCTCGACTTAGCAAATCAACCACACAACCGTAGTGCTCAATGCTAACCTTGGCCCTGTCTTTGCCAATACTTATTTCGTTGAAAATCTGTACACCTTTATCCTCCATTCCTCCATGGCTGCAACCAGATAACACAGCCAAAAGAGTGATCCCATCAGGCTTGATCTTGTTTTCTTCTCTCATCATTTCAAAGAGCTCAACTACCTCTTTTCCCATCCCATGTTTACTGTATCCAACAAGCATGGCATTCCAGGAGCTCACAGTTTTTTCAGAGATTTGATTGAATACCCTCCTTGAATAAGCGAGGTTTCCACACTTCGAGTACATATCAACAAGAGAATTCTGAAGCACCGTGTAGAAGGGTAGTTCCAATCGAATAATATGGGCATGCAATTGTCTACCTAGTTCCACTGCAGCAAATCCTGATAAGGCCGTTAATACACTAGCATATGTAACATAGTTGGAAGACATTCCCTCTGCTTGTAACTTGCGGAAAAGCTCTAGTGCCTCTTCATCTAGTCCCTGTTGAGCGTAGCCTGAGATTATAGCAGTACAAGAGACAACATCTCTTTCTGGCAGGCGTTCAAAAACATCTCGAGCATCATGGACTTTGCCAGCTTTGGCATACATATCAAGGAGAGAGCTTCCCACATATATATGTGATTCAAAAGGGCTCTTGACCACAAGACAATGGACTTGTCTCCCAAAATGAAACCCAACGGCACCAATACATGATGTAAGCATGGTTGCAAATGTAAACTCATTTGGCTCAGTACCTGCAAACTTTTCTGGTTATGATCTACTCAAAGGAGGGAAAAAAAAGGTTACTCAGTAATTGAAGCTGTAAAGAGTGAACCTAATGGTTTACCTTACTTTCTAACCTTAAGAAATACAATAAAATGCAAGTAATTGTTTAAAATCATCTTACAAGACCAACTGAATAATTCTAAGGAAGAAAGAACTTTTTTAAACTTGACCCCTTTACTAAGAAATTCTGAAGTTATTTAGGCAACTAATAGACTTCAACTTATTGTCATTGAAGAGGATAACAAAATCGAATTATTCCTATTATCTCATCACAAATTTCATTTAAATTTAAGTGCTGGCCTCTCTCTCATTCATTACCAATATTGCTACCAGTTTCTAAAATAAACCGTAAACACAAAAGGAGACAATACCTACATATCCACTCTTCCTTTTTCTTTTGAATCAACCAACACCAAGCCTCATACTTACCAGTATTAACATGTTAACAGTTCATACTAGTCTTTTAAGCTTAGATGGTACAAAATACATTTTTCACTTAATTAATTAAGTAGTTTCTAATGTGCAAAAGCGTGTTTGATATGAAGATATATCGGTAAATTTGTAACTACTTCCCAAAGTAATAGAAGTACCTGATCTCAACATCTGAACAAAAAGATGGAGAGCTTCAGAGACATACCCTTTCTGAGAATATCCAGAAATAAGAGCAGTCCAAGAAACAACATTTCTTTCAGGCATTTCATCAAACACCCACCTAGTATCATCTAAAAGCTCGCATTTTATGTAGAAAACGATCAGCCTTGTTCTGAGGTACACTGGAGGTTGATAATGGGTTTTGATCATGTGGGTATGTACCCTTTGGCCTTCTCTTATAGCCCTTTGGTTTATACATTGGTTTAACCGAGTATCGTATTCCTTGAATTTCACTTCAAGGCCTTGTTTGGCCATTTCAAATAAGGCTTCTGAAAGGAGACCATTGGAGCTTAGAGCTACAAGAGCTGAAGTATTTGACGGACATGACCAGAAAGTAGGTGTCTGGTGGTAAAAAGATGGCTTTTCTATTATGGAAGAAAATACATGCTTAATCGTATAGAAATATGGAGTTCTTGTCCTCCTCATGTTTTGGTTCGACTATGTGGTTAATCTGTTTATACTTTATAATTTCACTATGGATTGGTGGGGTTACTAATTACTATAGTGTTGGAAAATTGTACTCCAAATATGCGATTTTTTGTTTTTCGTCTTTTTTGTACTCAGACATCTAAATTATTTTCTCAAATAAAAATACAATTAGGTTATTTTTTAATTAAAGAAATCAGAAAATAAAAACAACAGAATAAGTAGTGGAGGTCAGATTAATGTAATCCACCACCAAAGATGTGATGACTGCTCCTCCCTTAACTAGAGGTCTCGGGTTCGAGCTTTGAGTATGGAAAAATTCTTGGTAGGGAGCGTTTTCCCCCGAATGGGGCCCTACGCGGCGCGAATCCGGATATAGTCGGGCTCCAATGCGGGTACCGGACACCGAATAGGAAACAAAAAAAAGGATTTTTTACATTCATATGCCACATAGGAAACCTTATCACCCTCAATGTTTAAGGTTTGACTTAATTACACTTACTATACCAAATTACCAATTCTATACCATAGTGTATCTTAAGGGTACAATTAATGCAGCGTATATCCCTCCTTAATTCAAGGTACCGTATATCCCACCCCTCCCACGTTTCTCTCTCCCAAACCCTCACTCTCACCCACGTTTATGTACTGCTGTTAAAGCATCTACAATCAGAATAACCATAGGTTCCAACAACTCGTGTTGCAGAGGCTTCTCCGTCATTCGTTATCCCCATAAGTTTTGACAAAACAAAATCTGAAATCTGTTTGCAAAGCAAAGGCAATGAGATGTTTTTGGGTTCGAAACTGACGACCAAAAAGACAAAATCCGGGCACCAGAACAAACCTTTGCTCTAAAAGAATCGTCAAGAAGGATGTTGCTTGTCTTTATATCTCGATGCACATAATGCGGCTTGGTGTGCTCATGAATGTATTCCAGACCTCTAGCAGCATCAAGTGCAATTTTGTAGAAGTTTTAGTCGTTTTTGATTTGTGAAAATAGAAAACAAAGCATCTACAATTAGAATACAAATAATCTACAATTCATCTACAAAATATCTACAAACTGGGTACATTGAATTTTTATATCCTAATTCCCATTCAATTGTAGCATAATTGTGATTTTTGATATAATTGCATTTTTTCAGAAGATTTGTAGAAGTTTTAGCTGTTTTTTAATTGTGAAAATAGAAAATAAAGCATCTACTATCAGAATACAAATAATCTACAACTTATCTACAATTTATCTACAATTTCTGCAATATGTCTTCTTCTTCGAGTTTCAATCTGAAATTCAGTCAAAACCAAGTCTAATCTTCACTAAAACCCCTCAAAATTGAGATATAAACTCCAAACCATATTCCCGATTATTTTCAACAACACCCAATCCAAACAAATAATGATTTTTGAAAACCCAAATTTGAATTCAAAGCTTTCAAGCTCTTTAATGGCTGTCAATGGTGGAAAATATCTAGAAGAATATTTACTTCCATAATTGTAGCACGCCTAAATAGGAATATCTGGAAGAATATGATTTGATCTGATTTACGCCAAATCTATTTAGAATATTCTGTTCCTCAATTTTAGCTCGGCAAATTAGGAAGATTCAGCTAATATTAATTAGTATTTAATGATTGGTATAATAACTGTAGAAAAAATATGGACAGGGCGGGTAAATTAGAAACTATGAACATTTTTGGTAATAAGGTTTCATATATGGTATTGGAAAGAAAAAATCTCTTTATTTATCCACGTACTAGGCCCAATTTTTACTAATACAGATAGTCCCTCATACTTTTCGATCACTAATGACTATACGAGAAGTGATAAGAAGTTTTGGCGGGAAATAGAAGTGTGTCTGAAACCTTGTTCCAGAATCTCAGTGACGTGTTCCAGAAGTAAAACGGCATGCCTCGTTTCTATTTAATGCCCGAAATAAGTGTTTACCAGTAAAATGATATAGTTAAACGCGGTTTATGGACACGTGAATTAATTTGATCGAGAAATATAAAATAAATAAGAACTGAAATAAAATTATAAAATACACTTCAAAGAAAATACAAGTCTGGCTATGAACTTAATCTCTCTGGTAATAGAAGTAAGAACAATATTAAGAATAAGGTACTAGAATGACGTTGTAGAACGAGACCTAGTTCAAGCTTTTGTGTACAAAATGGTTCGTGTCCAACAATGGATAAAAATTCTCCTATTTATAGTTATATTTAAAGAGTAAGATCCCCAAATAAAACTCCTCTTGAATGAGAATAAAACCGTCATTGATGACTACATAATAGTTGGCTATAAATGCAGATATTCTCTGCAATGGCTGCTCATTGAATGTTATCCGATATCAATTCTTCAAATCTTTGTTATCGGTTATCTTGTCTTCGGAATTCACCCAGCACCAGTCACATGCTTGCAACCGGTATCAACTATTTGCTGACTCACATCTTACCTGTCTTCATATCCACGTGTCACTTCCTCATTCGTCCAACTCTCACAAACCAGTTAGCACGTCCCCCTACTTTTTGGTGACACTACTTTAGTGTTATTGGAAAGTAGAGAAAACTTCTTTCCTTAGCGGGCAAGTTTCTGAAACTTGAAAGGATACACGTCTGTTCGCATTTAATGACCGGAATACATGTTATCCCACGTTTAGCAAATATTTCTCCCCTTTTTGAGGTAATTATGACAATGATTTTTGCCGTCTATAAACTTCTTCATCACTCATAATTTTTACTCTCCACCGTTACACCTCTTTCTTCTTCTCTGGTTTACCTTAGAAACCTACTTGCAAAATTCAATTCCTCAATAAAATCTTTCTTCACAAATTTCTTACCATCATTTCTTCTAACGCTGCTGCCCTCGGAAATTCTGGTCTTCTCTTTGGTGGAGGCCCAAAGAAGAACAAAACAAAAGAAATTGATGTTGAGTATGAACTTCCTACCATGAACTCCATCATACCCCTTCAACTTAACACCAAATCTGATCTTCAAGAACAAAAAAAATCTCGCTTATCCCAAAAGTGATATATACTAGCTCGTTCATAGGTACCCTTCTTCCATTCGTCTTTCCAGCATCCCTATTGTGAAGGAAGACCGCGAATGGAACAATATTGAAATCTTCGCTCCTAGTGACATAGAAAGGGTAAGCTTCTCCAAACCAGGGTTCATGTATGTTTATACATATCCTTTTGGTTTGGGAGTGGGTAAAGAAATCGACCCAATAATTTTAAAATTGTCACCGGTACCAAAGTTATTTGGAACAAGCAGGCCCATCAGTATGGCGTACAGTGGCTTGCCTCCGCTAATTATGATCTAAGACCAGGGAAACCCTCACTCTTGCTCACATGATGAATCTCTACTCCCCAAAGATCTTCCGTGGGGTGTGCTAAAACTTAACAAATGCGGTCATCATGCTCATCTGTTTTTCCCGAATCATAGAATTTTCTTTGTAAGTAGTCCGATATCTTTTCCTTTCCATATTTGAAAAGATTTTCTTGCTTGATTAACCTTGCACTTTTCTTGTTCCAGCTACTCATTGGGAATTACCAGGGGTTCAGGATTTAGCCCAATGGGTGCAGAAAATTCTGAATAGTACTACACCGGAATCACGAATGTGTAAAGAAATAGCCCCCAAATTTGGGTGGAAAGCCAAAAACCATGGTAAACAAATATTCTTTCTCCCTTCTTTCAATTTTTCAACATAACTTAGAATCTACTTATTAACTATCTTTTTGTACAACACAAGACTTCCGAAGGTATCCATTGTTTGCCCTGATATCGAGGCTCTCGATGACCAGGTGGAAGCCGAACGAGTACTGCAAAATACCCTTAACCGGAGGAGAGCTTGTGAATCTACTCACTTCTAGTGAAGGTACCTCCTCCCGTAGTCCCCAGCCCAAAAGCAAGAAACCAAAGAGGAAATGTACCTCCTCAACTAGGACTGGGGAGAAGAATGTGAAAGAAACACCAACTGGACCGGCCATAGTGGTCCTTGTTGATGATGGAAACGATGATGAAGCGGCTCCTCTTAAAAGAAGAAAAAGATCTTCATCAGTATAAACAGATGCTTAGCCGGGAGAGCTTCGAAACAAGGAAAAAGTTTTCCACTCACCAACCAAACAAGAAAAAATAAGAGATAAAACCACTCATTTTCCAGGAAAACATTTTCCATAGAAAACATTTTCCTTCGTACCAAACACACTCTAAGAGAAACCAAACGAAATAGTTTAATCTGCATAATAATGTAATTGCTAATAATCGTTCTTGTAGTACAATTGTGAATCAATCAGTCCTCATACACCAAGTGTATCAGAGAGAACGACTCCTCTATGTTAGTATAGACAAATCTATTTACATATGCATATAGAGATTATAGATATTTATAGGGAATACAACTAATTTTCTCCCTCTCTAGCAGAGATCAACTTGAAATGGAAACTCATAATGTTAACCTTCTACTCCAATGCTGCCTCCTATAAACTTTTATGTCCGATATATACACGGCTACCACTTGTAAAAAGCCTTGCCTCTACATTCATAGCTCCATTTTCAGCTGATTTTGGTGCAAAGAAGCTGCACCAATACCGCGAAGTTAACAATAGTCACTGGTTCTACTTTGACATATAATTTCCTTTTGTTATCCAGTACCGGGATTTACCTGAATTTGCAGAGGAATCATAAGTCAAAAGTGAGTTCTCTGGAGTAATGAAGCTAGAATTATCTTCTTCCCTAACCCAGACAGACTGATTGAATTCGTCAATTTGCAACAGCTGTTGATACTGGTTTCTATTCCTGCTGCTTTGTCCCTCAGGCCAAATCAATGGAGCAACTATGCCCGCGAAGTTACTATCCACCATAGAACCACTCTGCTATTTTTCAAAAGCAAATGAAAACTATTAAATATGGGAATTATCTTTTCTCTTTAACAAAGACTATTATACGTATGATATTTTGGACTTAAAAGTGGGGTCGGGGGAGGGTAGTGAATACGCAGACCTTACCCCTATCATGGGAGGGTAGAGATGCTGT